TTACTCTGTAAAGCACTTTGAGATGTTTTGATGTTTATAGAAAGAATTAGAATCATAGTAATATAGCTATATAGGATAGAAGGTTCAGACCATTATATTGTGCTGGTACTAATATCTGCTTTTATACTATTTCCCAACAATTTTCTCATACTCTTTAATATTTTTTCTTAAGTGTTAATCCAATTCCATGTCAAATGTTGTAATTGATTCAACTGTCATTTATGGTAAGGCATTCTATATGCTAACCAACCACTGCATAAAATATTTTTAAATCTTCCTCTTTTTATTTATGGTGTTAACTAATGTTCTCTTGTTGCGAGCTCACCAATCAATGGAAATAATTTCTATTTATTTTTTCCTATCAAAACCATTCAACAACAACAACTTAGATTTATATAGCGCCCTCCACGCCGGACGGTGTCTCAGAGCGCTTCACTATTTTGAAAAGGTCTATTAGATTCCCCTTTCATTTTTCTCTGCTTCCACACACAAGTCTCTCCACAAACTATATCTTCTGATGTCTGGTAACATCCTGGTATTATCTGGTAAAAAATAATTGTTGGTCATTCAATCCACGACTGTTTGTGGGACACTTCTGTACGCAATTGGCTGCCATGTTTCGCCCACAAAATACACGGTCACTACACTTTACAGTATATTCTGTGCTTCAAAATGTCTTAATGATGTGAATGATTGTATTGATCCAGTCTCTTGTGAAAATTAATTCCAACTTCCAATAACCCCTCGAGAGAAGAACTTCCTAGGCAAAGGGCTTGAACTTTAGCTGATAAAGTGGAGGACAATAGATAGTATTTAGTTTTTGAGAAGGCAAGCTCTTAAAGAAGGGATACCATAATTTGAGATTCCTGTTGCCAGTTCATTTATTTGTTGTTTTTGCTTACTTTCCGCAGAACTTCCAACAGAACCCATTTTGTAAGATAATGTTTATTTTACGCTATTAGAGAAAAAATCGGGGGAGAGTGAAAAAGGAGGAAATTTGGTCGAAATGTGAAATCAAAGTATACAACGGAAATGAGTGGGAGATCACAATCCACAATTATGAGTTTCTCCCAGTATCCTGGCCAGCAATCCCCAAATAAAACTCTCCATTCACTTTATAGCTGTTTGTGGGACATTGCTGAATGCAATTTGGCTGCTGAGTTTATCTACAAAATATACAGTCACTTCACCTTACAATAAATCCTGTGAAGTGTTTTGAGATATTCTCCTAAGGTGAACACCTCTATATGAATTGCAAGGATTTATTATGATAAATTCAACAATATAGTGGTGGCAATTGTTTCTGGAAATGAAAACCTAATATAAAAACTATACAGATTTTTACAAAGTAGGCTAAAAACAATCTGAAACTTCAGCTCTGCATCCAAGATACCCCTTTCTCCGTCTTACATAAAACGTTAAATGGGAAGTACAAATACTTATTTGTACAAGTGACCTTGTCACCTCTTTCAGTAACATGCAGGGTTAAAGACTGCTCCTTTAAGAAGTGAAGGCTCACTTTGTGAGTTCTTGTGTTGCTGATAGCCTGAGTCTTAATACCACAGGTTTCTATTCTAGCTGGAATCTCAATGCCTCCCACCCCCCCACACACATCTGACTTTCCCGTGAAATGTTTTCAATTAACGTTTGGCAACTACAGGAAAGGGCCAAACGTTTCTCAGGCTGAAATATGGAAAATCGGCAGGGAAGATCTCAGCAGGAGTGGAATTTCATTAAAAAGTGCATAATAATTCAACGACTTCTAGCCAGCCTTTAAGCCTCTCTATTGATTACGGCACTGAAACGATTTTCGAGGGATTTGCAATGACTAATGATTTGATGAGATCTTTACAGAGTTTGTTTTGGCCCAGACATTGAATGATTAACTGCTGGCTACTGACAATATTCAGACTTTCAATGACTGTCACTGACCCACTGAAAAGATCAGTTACCAATGGTACTGGTTTGATCTCCACATTTCCTGCCTTTAAGAGAGTTTTGAACAGACTTATGTTGTATGTGTCTGTTATTTAGTGCCCCCAGATACAGAGAGAGAAGTCTGAAAAAAGGTCTACCGACATGCAAACAAATGCACAGTCAAAAGTCATTCGGTTTGTATGTTTTTTAAAGGCTCCCCTTACAAATGTAGCCTCCTGGGGCCAGTGCAGTAACACTACACACGGAGATTTTATTGGAACGACTGAACTAAATGTCGCAATCCAACTTTCACATTTCCCAGACAACACTGACGCGAAAAAGAACTTGTTTCCCCCTTCGGACTGGCGAACCGGAATGATTAACAACAGGGCGTTGGTGGTATGAGATGCTAAAGGTTAATGTTAACTCGCCATCTCTCTCTCTGGGGCATCACTCACTCACTCACTCACTCACTCACTCACTCACTCACTCACTCACTCACTCACTCACTGTCCTTGATGATGATGGGAGACATGAAACTGAGTATAAAAGCTCACGATCATTGGGCAAAATAACAGTTATCTTCAGTTGTATATTTGTTGCTGTGCAAACCTCGAGGAGATGATGTATCTGTTTCACGGGAATATTTTTCTGTGCCTCCTACTTTTAAAAAATAATGCCAGCAAACCTGCATGGTACTCTGCTATTCTATAGCTCTAAAGAAAATCTTACAGCACAAATGTTTGCCCTATTGGTTCCAAATTTTCCGCCTATAAATACTTAAATCTCGATAGTTTCCACCCTCCCCACCCAACGTCCAAGCTGCCACTTTGATTTCATCACATCAAAAACATGTTGAGATCAAACCTTTGAACTGAGAAAAGGTTTTTAATCCAGTTAGAAGGTCTGGTGGTCGGCTCCTTGTGTCCTGGGAGCATTGCACTCTATGGAGCGGGAGAAAAAGGATTAGAGAAGGGGGGGAGGGAGGGAGGCTGCTAAAGTAGCTTCATTTTTTAAATTTAGAAACGCTATTGGGAACCAATGGTGGAATTAGAATCAAGACCCGTGAGCAAACCATTGCACTATTTGTTCACTACTCTTAAAATAAATTGATCTGTGTGGTTGCACGATTCTTTGGGCAATTAATAATCCTTGCATTCGATGTAGAGCCTTATCACGTATTTGAGACGTCTCAAAACACTTTACAGAATGTACTATAAAGTGGATTTACTGTATTATTTTGTGGGCGAAACGCAGCAGCCAATTGCACACAGCAGTGTCCCACAAACAGTTGTGGATTAAGTGACCAAATTATTATTATTAAAGAAAAACTTTTTTTGAAGAGTTTATTGCCCCTGAATTGCTAGCTTATGCAATGGTCATTTGATAAACTGTCAGTAACCCCAAAAAATGCAATGAATGTATTCCATTTGTACATGGAAGTGCCGCTGAATGCAGTCCATGGGGATCACAGGACAGTATTCAATATGTTGATTCTTTCCTTTTCTTTACTGAAAACAGTGGCCAGTGTTAACAGGCTGTAGTTATTTTTGCAGCTCTTTCGTCTGCCCTCTTCTGACTTACAGTCATTCGTATATGTTTGATATATTTCAATAACGATTGTGACGTGTCAGAGCAAATAGTCTCACTGCATTTATTCAGAGTCAAAATAATTGGAAGTTATGTACTTTTTAACAAAAAAAACAAAATTACATTTGTCTAGCGCCTTTCACATCAAGAGGACGTCCCAAGGCACTGGATAATTAGGCCCGAGCTGGGGGTCAGGATCGGGGAGGGTGATCGAAGGCATGATCAAAGAGTAGGGTCTTGAGTCAGGTCTTGAATATCTAAACCAGAATGAAAGTCCCATATATGAATGCCGCCTACACATGGAAATTCCCTGTGTCTAGATTATTCCAGATAAATGAATAAATGTGCATTCTCTTCCCAGATCCACCGATTCTGGAAAGTATAAGCACACATTGTCAAGAGTTAAGGTTTGGGGGCTCCAGAGTGTGCACTAGGGTACTACAGGAGGCTAACCAGCTAAAACTACATAGCTTACCATTGAGAGTACTGTCTGGCAAGCTTCCCGCTGGTTGCCACCCTACCTGTTGGCTTGCAGGGTTAACAGGAGCTAAGTTGGAAGAATCTCTGCCCCCAGTTACAGGTCTGCCCCTCCAAGTCCTGCCAACTAGTCAGGGTGGGTGGTCTGTCATCATCTTTGCGCTGGAATATTCTGGACCCACCTGGCTCAGGAATTGGACTACTGAGACCACCACAGATGGTTGACATGATTTTGACATTCCATTGCCAAAAATTTCACCTTGGAGCCAGTTCAGCCCCAAAGAAATCCCATTTACCTCCTCAGCAAGGTCATTGTACTAAGCAGTGCAAATGTGATCAAATGTGACTGTTAAAATGGTTAATTCTATTTTCAACAACCCGATTGCAAAAAAAAATACAATGACCATGTCCTGATTCAATCCTTCCACAAAATCCTCAGCAGACTTTGTCTTTGTCTACTGTTTGGGTTTATGACCAAAAAAAAATGCAATGAATGTATTCCATTTGCACATGGAAGTGCCACTGAATGCAGTCCATGGGGATCACAGGGCAGCATTCAATATGTTGATTCTTTCGTTTTCTTTACTGAAAACAGATGAACAAACCCACTCATGTTTCTAATAGCAATGATAAACATTTTAATTTTGTGACCTGGGAGGTTACAGGTCTTCAGTACGTGGAGTTATTGAACACATTTTGGGTCCCCAACACTTCTTAAATTGGTCATTTTGCTGCTCTGTGACCTGTGAAATGGGTTCAGGGGGCGAGCAGACAGGTATTATGTGCTATAAATTCCGGGCCAGGCTTTCTCTTATTGAGTTTCTTTCCCAAATGTGTTGATCCAGTTGTTCTCCTGGGAGGAGAAGACGTCAAGGTTGAAGGAAGAGAGAGATTTATCTGGGAGTCCTTCTCCTTGTCCCTCTCTGTTTGTTTATCTTGAAGTGATGATAAATGACGGTCATTTGAAAGCATAAGACAGTAATGAATTTTCCCCAGTAATAGTCAGATCTGGGGAGCAAAGTTTGTTTTGAAATAGGCTGCTCCAGTTTACACAGTGTTAGGGGAGGATGTGTTGCTGAGCTGTTCAAACAGAGACAACTAACAACTGGCGGTGTGGGTGAGTCCTAAAGCAACATATTAATTACGCATTACAGTACCACGTATGCTGACAGCGGTAAACAAACCCTTTAAATACCACCAGATTTGCATGGAAACACACCTACGTGTTCAGAATTGCTGCTGTTATACACGAATGTAACAGAAACACAGTGCACGTTTTTTTTCACAGAGTGCAAACAAAACCACAGTGATCCTCATCACTCCACACTGTCCCCACGGAAATCCAAGGCATCACTGACTATGGGACTGACTTACCTCATTGACCTTTGATTACTAAAACGTTGTTTCATCGCTACACAAAACATAGGATTCAGAGCCCTGCGATTTGACATTTCCGCGTCTGACATTTTGGGGGAAAGTTGTTTAGGTTTATTGAACTGAAGCAATGAAATGATTGAACACGGATTGCAACCAACCAGCTCCAGCTCCAGCTCCTCTTTCCCCTCCACCCACACACACACACACTCACACACACCTTTCACCCCCATCCCCCCAATTTGGTCAGATTGCTCTATCGCCTTGTGCTTTGCAAATCCAATGCTTATACAATTAATATGACAAGATGCTCACTTTCTCTCTCTGTCTCTGTCTCTCTCTGTCTGTCTCTGTCTCTATATATATATAGATAAACAGATGCACACACAGAAATACAGACACACACCGAGTTCAGCCTGAAGATGACCCGAATGCAAGTTTTCATACCAACGAGCAGTACACTGAAAAGACTTGCTCTGTGTGTGTGGGTGTGTGTGTGAGTGTGGGTGTGTGGTGTGTGTAAAAAAAAAAGGGCGAAGACTTGCAATGAATAAGGAGACTTTAAGTAGGGGGAGTGCTTTGAGGCAGAAATCATGACCAGCAGACAGGCAACTCTGCAAACCCCGCTGGAGCCGAGCCGAGCCGGAGGGAGGGAGTGAGGGAGGGGAGGGCCGCCCCGGGGCCGATTGTTGTGCGCAGTGTATGGCGGTGTGAAGACAGAGTGGAGCGTTTTAATAAAGAGGCCGATCTATAGGAGAGAGTCTATGGGGTGAGACCTCTGTGTGAGAGGGGAACAAAGAGCACATTTCTCTCGGATCTCCCCATCATCTCCATGGCTGACAGTGAGTAAGCACTCGCAGCAATGACTCCACTCCTGGATGCGCACTTCTCAGCGCTTTGCCAATAAAAACTTGCTGACACGGGGCATAACTTAATTTTCACGGTGCCGGGACAGCTGTATGGTGTAATCTGCCGTGGAGTGCCATTAAAACTTCAATGCCTTTAGTGACCCAGAAGCGAAACTAGACCGTGGAGAGCTTTTCAAAAGGTCTCAATCTCCACGATTTATGAGCCGGCGGCGGGGGGGGGGGGTTTCCACCCCAACTTCTTTTAAAAAAATAATACTAATACCAGACTCTTAGCAACTTTTTACCTCCCTCTGTCGGATCCGATCGTTATGATTCTGGATGCAAATGAATGAGATCTGAAGTGATCCACCCACCGAGGGACGGTGATCCCTTGTTTTTTAATAGTCTCCCAGGCACTCAATGGGCTGAGGCGAGACTCTATTAAAGTGACCCCCAGGGCAATGGGCCAAATTGCACCCAGTTGTTTCTCGGAGGTATTCATCATTCACACATTCATTTCCTTCTTTATGTGTCTCCTTTCATCATTTACGCCGCTCCGGGGTCCCCGGGTCCGGAGGACAATCGGCGTACAGTCTCCCGCAAGAGAAAGAAAAACGGGGTCATAAATATGTTAAATTCGTGCGCAGTTTAAGTGGCTTTGTAAACTACATAAATAGACCCTTAGAGTAATTAATGAATAAGAAACAGCGCCCAGGGAAGGAGTTGCAAAGAGAGAGAGAGAGAGAGTGGGGGGGGGGGGGGGGATTGGTTCTCTAACCCCCCCCCCCCCCTCCCCTCCACCCACCTCCCACCCCCTTTTTTTTGTACGAAACGTTTAGCACCTTGAAGTGAGTCCAACGTGGCACTGTTGTAATTGCACAATCAGCCAGGCTTGGGAAAATAGCACACTTTCAAACGCAAACTGGCAAAGTTTTCAAAGCAGGGAGAACGGGAATAAATAGTTTCCAGGGTCATTAAAATAAAAGGGTGGTGGGGGCCGAGGAGATGGACTCAGTCTGCAGAATGAACAGTCATACCGTCATCGCAAGGCTTTGCTCCATATTATATGGGCTTGACTACAATTTGGAGTTGTGTGGTGATCACACGAAAAGGCTACCATACATTTCCCCCAACAAACAAACAAACAAACATAGAGATGCACACGTTTGGATAAGATACTATAGCAAAATGGGTTGGGTGGTGTGATATGTTTGTTGGTGGGGTAGAGGAAAAGTAAAATTCATATGCAGATTCATAATTCGCACCGACTTGGTGTAAGTCTGAAGTCTATCATAGCTTACCACGATGTGAACCCGTAGTAAAATATTTTTTATACTGCACCTTCCTATCTTAGAAACACAGTAGCCCTAATAAAGGGGGTTAGTGGTGATTATAAATAAGGCAGCACTAAAACCAGGTCTGACCCCTTCACAGGGACACCATAAATCAAGTGTAAAAGTCATGGTGTTAAATTTGGAAAAGGTCACTGGGTTGGGATAAGGGTCAGAGAGAGGGGAGAAGAGGTTTGGAGAATGACTAAAGAAAAGAGAACAGGTGAAAAAAATAGAAAGTGATATGAACAGAGAAAGTAAGAATCTGTACAACATCTCAGTCAATCAGCGTATTTATTATTGAATTACTCAAAATGTTTGTGAGTTCTCAATGCTATATTCAATAGAATATATGTGCAGGGCTGCTCCCTTTTGATATTTTGGTATTTAGTGTTCATAGTTTGTCTGAAAAAAAACTCATCTCTTTATCACAGCCTGTTTCTAGGCAACAGGCATGCAATCATGGACACAGCAATGCAGATGGAGGCCTTTCGGCCTATCCAGTATAAACTGGTGCCAACTCCTCCACTGGAACTAACTACTCTAATCTCAATTCCCTGCTCTTTTTTCTGTACATTGGTTCCACGTGCTTGCCCATGTTGAAATAACTTTATTTGAAAATTCCATTGCAAGGTGGCAACCTGGTTCAGTTGGTAACACTCTCGCCTCTGAGTCAGAAGGTTGTGTTGTTTGAAATTTGTATTCTCCCAAAGGTGATGAATGATCCATGTTAGCAATAGATGCGATGTGCACAAGAAGAATATGAACAGCAGACTTTATTTTGAAGGAATAACTAGTTTTTTTTAATCTTTTAGCTGAGAAGTTTAAACTGATGTTCTATCTGCCTGTTCAGGTGGTTATTAAAGATCCTGTAGCATTATTTGAGAAGAGAAGAGAGTTTCTCCTGGTGTCCTAGCCTACCATTTTTATTTCATGGCTGTTTGTGGGATACTTCTGTGCACAATTATTTGCTCCCTTTGCCGACAAATATAGTCACAAAGAAACTCTGTAAGGAAGGGAAGAGTTCCAGAGGTTAGGGATATAATAATAATAATCCTTCAATTTGGTGGAGTGCCTTCGTGTAGTTGAGGAATCTCACTTTACAGGATATACTGTAAAGTGGATTGTCTGTATCTTGTGAGTGAAACGCAGCACGCAATGTCCCACAAACAGCCACGGGTGAGTGGCTCCATTTTTATTTGGGGGAATTGTTGGCCAGGACACTGGGAGAAACTTTCTTCTCTTTTCGAATAGTGACTTGGGACCTTTAACGTCCTCCTGAACAGGCAGACGGGACCTCGGTTTAACGTCTCATCTGAAGGACTCTAGCTCTGACACACACCAGCATTGCGTTAGAGTCTCATTTTAGACTTTGGGATTCTAAGTCCTGATATGGGGCTTAAATCCACATCCTTCTGAGGTGAGAGTGCTACCGGTCCTCCAGGTTGACACTCAACATAGACTCTAAAGTCTCTGTCACTGATGGTGGGGATATAATAATAATCCTTGCATTTGATACAGTGCCTAATCACATAAAGTCACAGAATATATTGTAAAGTGTAGTGACTGTATATTTTGTGGGTGAAACGCATCAGCCAATTGCAGAACCTGACATCAATCCACAAGGAGTCAGGGAGCCAGTAGAGTCATTGGAGCCTGGCGAAGTGTAAAAATAATGAATGGGAGTGCAGAGTTTGGTGCAGTTGAGGATGCGGGCAGTGGAGCTTTGAAGAAGCTGGAGATTATGGATGGTAAAACTAGAGAAACTAGCGAAGAGTGAAAAGTCAAGGTGGGAGGTAATAAAGGCATGGATAGGATTTCAGTAACATTCAGTGCGAGATAGGTGGACAATGTGTCAGAGGTGAAAAAAAGCAGCCTTAATCAGAGATTGGACTTCACATTATAAGTGGGTACCAAATAAAAATGGTAAATACAGTAATGGAAAACATTAGCAGAATAAGTTTGGGGATGAAATATGGCTTTGATAAATTGTTGCAGCATTCCCCGATGTCTCAATGGATAAATACACCATGGAGTGTGATACTGAACTGTCAGGAGAGGACAAAAAGAAAGAAATGGCAGGATTGAAACTTTGACTGTAACTAAAAGCAACCACATAACTACATGAGGAGTTCATTGTGTGCTTTTAAAAATTTTTTTATTAAAAGTAAAAGACAACACATCTTAAAGTACCAGATGCTTTTCTGACTACTGATATCAAGGACAATGGAGATTTACTAGGATTATATCAGGGATAAGTGGTTTGACCTATGAGCAGAGTGAAGGAATTGGGCCTATTTTCATTGAAACAGAAAGGTTGAGGGAAGATCTAATCGAGGTTTTTAAAATTACGAAAAGGTTTTGATAGAATAAATAGGGAGAAATTATTTCCATCCACCAATTTCAGATAATTAGCAAAAGAGTAAACCGGGATATTAGGAGGAATTTTCTCCACAGAGAGAATATGGAATGACCTGCCTGGTGTGGTGATCAAAACAGAATCTAAGCTTTTCGAGAGGGAACTAAAAATAAGCAATATACAACTGTATGAGGAAAAGTCAGGT